GCAGGAGAGCAGAGGCCCGGGAGGGCGAACATAGACGGAGTACATTGGGACGGGTTTGATTGAGGGAGCTCGAATGGAAAGAGCTTGGGGCTTCCAGGGAGTGGTGAGATTAGGCCACAAAGGGCCTCCAAGGTCTGCATAGAGTGGGCACAGACCAGAACCAGTAACAGGGAGCTACTGGGGCTCTAACACACAGCATCAGCACCATCAGAGATGGTTTTCAAGAGCTGGGCAAAGGGCAGAGAGATGGATCTGAGATTACGAGTATGGACTGCTCTTATGGAGAACTGGATTTTTGTTCTCAGTACCCATATTAGGTGGCTCATAATTGCCTGTAACTCCAACTCCAAGAGCTACCACATCCTTGTCTGGCCTATTGGATGCCCACATGTATGTGTACATATGCACACATAGACACAGACATAAACACTTTAAAATATCTTAAAATTAAATCAAGAACAGAGTGAACAGGATGGGACCCCCATCCTACAGCAAGAACAGCAAAGCTGTACTGAGACTCTAGTGATCCACAGATGATGTCATAAGACTCTTCTCCAATGGGCCAGGGTTGTAACAGAGCTTTTTTAAAAGCAGTGACATAAAGATTAAATAACAAGCACAACTAATTATGTACAACCTTATCCAGAAATCCAGACTCAAGACAGCCTGGGCACATCTCATTCCTGGGTTAAGCCATTCCCAATCACACAGGCACTAAAGTGAAAGTCCCAGTATTTCTGAAAATGTCTGAGACATCTGTAAGGTCTGTGAGGGGAGGGATGGCGGACACTGCAGAAGTCCCAGCTCCGACACACCTCTTTCCTCACAAACTCTCCACCTGACTCTTACACGCGGAGAGCCCAGCAGCTCGTGACTATTTCTAAAGTGCAAACTCCTGATGAACACACAAACCCTTGCAGCTTCTTTTACTTTTTCTGCCTCCCTCCACTCTTAGGCTTCTTTGGAACCCACTGAACTTTCAAATTTTCTCCATGCACGGTTCTCCTTTTCTGGAGAGTCAAAGGGAAGAAATGCCAGCAGGTTCCCCATCCTTTAATGTCCAGTTCTAGTTACTGCAGTTGGCTGAACCCTTGTGGAGAAAACAGGAAGTAGATCAGAAGTTAACAGGCCGAGGGCTGTAACCAAGAGAGAAGGGCAGGTGGAGCACTGTATGATGAAGTCTAGCGTCTGGACCTCCATGTGCACACACAGCTCTGATCTCTGGGCTCCCAGGAGACTCTTCATGTCTTCCCATCTATGTCAACATTTTGCCACACTGGCTCATTTTCTCCTTTGTGTAATGTAGGCCCCACACCTTTGGAAACCACACTGGCAGAGTCCACAGTCAACATACCTCCTCAAGTCCCTTCGCATGCCTCAGAGACCAGAGACTCCCACAATTAAATTTTCACAAGTGTAGGCCTGCCAACTGTCCACTAAAATCCTGGCCTGACTCAGCAGCTCCAGTTCCCTTCCACAGCTCAGTCTTCAGAAGAGAAAACAGTTTTAGATTTTATCTTATTGTTGTACTTCTCTTCCTTGTCCCTGCCGGGCCACATGTAGTATCTCCACAAGGCCTTTTACCCAGTTAGCAAGACAGCTTGGGTCTGAAGACTCCAAAGAAAATGTAAACAAACATGTCTTTGAGGGGGCCAGGCATGCTTCTGTGTGTACAGATGAACTCAGTCATATCTGTGTGTTAGAGGCCAGAGATCCGTGCTGGGTATCTTCCCATAACTCTCTCCACTTTTTTTTTTCTGATACAGAGTCTCTCATTGAGCCTGAAGCTTGTGGCCGGTCTGGCTGGCCACAAAGCTCTCTGGATCTGCCAATCTCAGCTTTCCCCTCCTCAAGGCCGAGGTTATAGATGTGCATCACTGGCTCCAGCTTTTGTGGGGGTGCTGAGGACCCACACAGCTCTTCACACTCATTCAGCAAGCACTTAACTCAGGAGCAATCTTCCCTCCAGGACTTTCAAAATGTGGCTTAGTCTGTGGGAAGATTCAGCTGCCGCTTCTATGTGGATAAACACACTCTTCACACCAGACCGGGTAACCCAAACATGGGATCCCTGATGGCTACCTTCGTCGGTAGGGCTCAGAGACCCTGCTGTCCTGGCTGCCTCAGAGACATGCCCTACACAGAACATACTCTACAAACTCAGACTCCACCTGTGAAAAGCTACATTTATCATTCTGCTTTTCCAGCCTCCATCTGACAGAGGCCACACTGGCTAATGTGCCATATTCAATGACTCCAAACCCCTCAAGGCTCCATCTGGCTTTACTACACCCACTTAAGGAACACAGTCACTGTCAAAGGTCAAAGCTCTCTGGGGCTAGAACCTAAGTCCAATGCCCTGGAGATACCAAATGCGAGCTCTAAACAAAGCCTTCCTGCCTCTGCTTAATTCATTATGACTTTTAGGTAATCAACAGGATGGATCTCGCACATTCGGGATCCTGTTTGCTGTGAAAATAGATGTGACTGAGTTTGTTTATCCAGTAAAATAAGAGAAACGTGGTCAATAAAGAAGATTTTTCTGATACTCATTAAGGGAATTTAGACAAGTTGGTGATGCTCAGGAATGCCCTTGCTCTTCCAGAGGTGGTACGGGGGCATGGGAGCAGGGGGAGAGATTCTGGGGTGATCTCAGCCTTCCTTCAGTACCGCAGACTGGAGATCACTTACTCCAATTGCCTCATTATTCCAAGGAGAGATTTTTGACACGGCATCAGACAGGAACCTATGCAAAGCCCATACATAGCTCACTGCAACTGCGAAATTAAAATCAAAATGGCCACTGGTGGGAAGTGATGGTCTCAGGGCAAGCAGCAGGTAGGAGGTGTAGAGGTCAGGCTCCCAGTACCTTATCTGTTACACCCCGTTTTAGCCCCTTCACAACACTGTCCATGCATCTCTCCCTCACTGCTTAAGACACTGTCTTTGCAGGGCAGAGAGAACAGTCAAGATTTAGAGTCCGAATTACCGAATTACCATAAAATTCAAGAGAACACGAAGGTCCAGAAACAAAACTTATAGTCTCATATCTTACTACACACACACACACACACACACACACACACACACACACACACACACACACACACGGGGTGGGAGCAGAGATAGAGACACAGAGAAAGTTTTCCTTTAAACCAAAAGACCAAAGGGAAAATCATATAAAGAAGTGCATCTCGAGCTTCATATCCATGAAAGACCTATCCAGGTGGATCTTGCTAAAAGCCAGATTCCGAGTCAATAGTTTGGATGCAAACTGAGATTCTAACTTCCACATTAAGGATGCCAGTCTGTGCCAACAACGGGTAGATCAAAACAAAACACCTTACTGTGCTTAAATACTGTGTACCCTAATAAAATTTGCCTGAAGATCAGAGGACAGAACAAGCCACTAGATTAAACATACAGGTCAGGCAGTGGTGTCACACATCTTTAAGCCCAGTACTTGAGATCTCATGCCTTTTCTTAGGAAGCACACACGCCTTTAATCCCAGGAAATGATGGCTGGGCAGAGAAAGGGATATAAGACGTGAGGAGACAGGAACTCGAGGCTTTTCAGGCTGAGGATGTGAGGTAAGATGTGGCAGTGGCTTGTTCCTTGGTCTCTCTGATCTTTCAGGATTTACCCCACTATCAGGCAACAGGTTTTTACTATAAGATCATTTAGGATTCATGTAACACCTTACAATCAAACAAATCTGGCTTTGAATTCTGATTCTTACATTTATGAACTCTGTGATCACATGCTATTTCCCACCATCCCGTGCCTCAATCTGCTCATCTATAGACTAGAAACAACGCCTAAAATGCACATGATGGTGTGAGTCAGTGATGAGGAGCTCCAGACACAATGCTTGGCATATAGCAAGGGCTCAGTAAATGTCAGCAGCTGCCTCTAAGATTCACAAGGACCAGGGTGATGGCTGGCTCACTGCCAAAACCACAATATGGAGAACACAGTAGTTGTCCAGTGGCTATTTGGCCAATGAGTGCACATACCACACACACAGTATCAACATGTACACACTCCCTTGGTTCTGTGCCTTTCTGCATAAAAGCCTAAGACATCAAAAACACCAGAAGATTCTCACCAATAAGCCACCACCTCGCAGAATCAGATTCAACACTAACCATCGTGTTTAACTGTTAAGACTCGTGTAATTTGCGGTGGTTATACGTACTTGAGAAATGGCTTAACTGCAAATAAATAAAGACAGCACCAGTCTGGAACCTGTATTTCATTAAGAGAAATTACTGCCTTCCCTATTATATGTGGGCTGTCTGAATGCAGATGTTATGGAAAAATAAAAACAAAAACCCAAAACCCTTAATTCTCAAACTTCAGTTCGCTTCCAAACCAAATTCAGAACTGCAAAGAAAGTCCAAATAAGTCAAGAGTAACAAGACTAAATTTTAAAGGGCCATTGGAGCAGAGGTGTAGTCTCTCAGAAGGGCACACACTTGCTCAGGACAAGTAAGGAAGAGAAGGATGTAAACAAACATAAGAACATCAACATTTAAATCACAGGCAGTCAAGTTAGTCTGCCCACAATCCCTCAACAGTTTGAGGTTATCTCCACTGTTTCCTGAAGACAGTGGCGACAGAAGAGCAAATCCCACCCCATAAAGGCACTGTGTAAGGTATGCAGCAACAAGAACATGATTGCCACTTAAGACACAAGCAGCATTCCCTTTGCCAAGAGTTGGCCAATCACATTTTATTGTTTAAAAAAAAAAAAAAAAAAAAAAACCCAGTCACCTCCCTCTAGACTCTTCCAAACCACCACACCACATCACTTCACTGAGAACTACTCTTCTCTGCATGTGCATTGCTAGGCATTCCGCCTGTTCATTATCATCACCCTACCTCCGATTTCCCAGAAACACTCGCCATCCGATACAGCATGTGAGAGCTCAAGAGAAGGCAAGCCAGCAGATCCAAGCTGGCAAAGGGGTTGCAGTGGAAGTATGAATCAGCTTACCTGATATGAACGGGACTGCCCGGAATATATCTGACAACCTGCTGTTAACTGGCTCATACGGGGAATCTTCCAGTAGATCATTTCCTAGAAATGACAGGAAGATTAGGCTCAGCTCTGGAAAACAGGCATATTTCAAATAGTGTTTCACCGCTCAGTTGGAACCCCTAATCATGTTATGACTGTGTACCTAGAAGATGCTGAAACTCTCAAAGATTTCATATGTATGTTTGGGGACATAATTATTCCTTTTTCATTCCTCTGCCTTTGCTGTCCTTGCTCTCCCCGGAGTGCCTTGAAAATACTGGAGCACAACCCAGCCTGAGCTTGCCAGGAAAGTCTCCCACTCTGCAAAGGAATCGAAATCTGGGAGGAAAGAACCAGTGACGTCACAAACTTTGCTTGCCTCCACGAACCAATGGAAGAAAGGTGACCTAGGAGAGGCCCCTATTTCTGCTAGCTCCCCCAAAATGAGGCATATAACCTGCAAGCAGGAACACTGGCTGTTCTTAAGATCATTTCTAAAAGCAGGTTTTCATGACTAGATTTTAGAAGCGGCAGCTGACAGTTCAGCATGTCTCGGTGAAGAATGAAGGTATGGGATCCGTGTGGTGCATTTACAGACTCCCTAAGTCCCATCGGAATGGGCAGTTGTGACTGCTACTTGTGTGCTAACCATGGTTAAACCTCAGCAGCTGGTCCAAAACTCAACTAATCTCAGATGACAAATGGTTTCTCACACATGAATGTTTGAACCGGTGTTTGGGGGTGAAGACAGAGCAGAGTTCTCTGGCCCTGCAGTACTTCTTTATCTCATGTCGTAAGGGAATAAAGAAGGAAAACTCCAGGCAAGATGCAGGCAGGCCTTTGTATCCTTACTCTCTAAAAACAGTGAAAGCTCCAGGCTGGCAGAGAAGTAGGTTCCTTAGGTAGCATTTAAGGGGTCCCCACTCTGATGTTCTGACTGGGTTTCAGAAAGGTCAATGGGATCCCAGGGGTGCCCCCACCCCCTCGTGGATCTTCCAACAATACTGCTCAGCTGCAACCAACACCAGCTGCTGCTGTCCCTAGGGGCCAATGAAAGGTCCTCATTCCGCAGCTGGGAGAATAGAGTGGAAGATGAGATCAGCCGGCTTAACCCCAAGACCGACTGGACTGAGGTTGCCTCCTGACTTCGGAGAGGAACCCCGGCATGCTGGTGGGAGCGGCTGATGCATACCCTGCAGGCTCTGATACATGCTCCAGTAGATGCGCAGACAATTCTTCTCTTTCTTCATGCCCCGCTTGCAGCGGCAGTTGTAGAGAGACTTTTGCTTCAGGGCCTCCATGGCGTTGCGGCACTCATCCTTGGCCTCGAGACCAGATGCCAGGCTGAAGTTGGTTTCCTTCCCCGCCACGCACTGCCTTAGTGTGCGGTACTTGGTGCTGCAGCTCTGTTCCTTCAGGCACTGATCACTGGCTTTCACGCAGTCCAAGCGGTCCCCACCACTCACCTCGGCGGACAGGAGCAAATCTACGGGGTGAATGGAAGAAGCCTTGAGTGCAGCTGGCTAATGGGGACCCTGATTCTAGATCCCAGAAGGGGCGAGAGAGGGGGCGCACGCCCTGGAGCATGATAGCTCCACCATCGTTATGAGGGGCAGACTAGGCAGGAAGCTGGTCCCTGGCCCACCAAGGAAGGTAGAAACAGCTTCTGCTGCCAGCCTTTGCGGGATTTGCTGAGGATCCTGCACCGCCCCAGCGCCCCAAAGCAGAAGCGGCCCTGAACCGCTAGCTGCCCCGCCTCCCCGGGCACCTGGGGCCGCAGTCTCTCGGCTAGCCAGTTCGCCGCAGCCCAAGGGTCCTCCGCTGGAACGCTTGGTACCCGTAGCGAGCTTGGTGAGAGGCAGGCGAGTGGCAGTCTGCCCCGCGGGTGCGCTGAGACGTTATTCCCAGAAAAGTTTTCCTTGCTAAGTTTCCTCTCTCCCGACCCCAGTGTTTTTCGACCACACTCCACCTGCCGGAGCGTCTCAGCGATCTCTTTGTGACTTCCAAGGGGACCTACGCGTATGTCCCGGGGTGAAGGTCTAGGACCCCTCAGATCCCCATCGGGCTAGATTTTTTTTTTTTTTTTTTTTTTTTTTTAAACACAGCAAAATAAAACCAACCGAGCAGAGTTGCGCTGCCACCGCTTCCCAAGCCCAGGGACCCTCCAACCTCTTCACTCCCTAGGGAAACTTCTTCCACCCCCATCCAAGGCACCCACGCTACAGTTCTGGAGTGGCCTCTGCAAGGGACCTTTTTTGAAAGATTGTGGGTGAAAAAGCCAGCGGCGGCCTCTACTTACCCAGGAGTGGCAGCGCGAAGTACAGAGTGGCCAGAAACATGGTGCCGGCGCGCAGCTGGTCCCCGCCCCCCAAAATCCAAAGCCGCCGCTGGGTCTCGCAGGGAGAGCTCAGCGTGCAGCGATTCCCGGGCGACCGCACTCCTCTGGCCACTCAAAGTTCAGCTCCATCCAGGGTGAGAGGAAACTCCCCGTCGCTCTGCCGCCCACTGCAGCCAGCGACTCAGCCCCAGGCGGGCGAGAGGGCGGGAGGCGGACCCGCTCTAGGGGTTCAGTTCCGACCAAACCTGGAAGGGAGAGAGCGCTTTGAAATGAGAGCCCGGAGTGCGGAAGCCTCCCGCTCCCACCTCTCTCCCCTCCCCCGCTCCCGCCTTGGGGGACTTCTCAACGCAACCCCCACTCGGGTCCGAGAGCGGGGGTGGTGGGAGTGCGTCTATTCCGGGCGTGGGGAGGCTCCGGAACCCGCGGTTGGGAGCTGGAGAGGTCGGCTAGGGCTCCCAACGTCCAAAGCCGGAGGCTATCCCGCACAACCCAAGAGGCTGAACTGAACGCAAGCAAATAAATAAGCATTACTTTCCGAGCAAGCGCCGGAAGCAAGCTGGCGCTGCCCGGAGTCGGAGCCTCGGCGGCGAAGGCTCCTTAGCCAACCCCGGCTGGACCGAGACCCTGCTCCGGGAAGTTGGCCACCGTCCCTGGCTCCCGCCCGACCACTCGCTGGCTCGATTGTAAGCGTTCTAGCTCCTCTGCCTAGGGCCCTCTGCATCCCGGCCACCAATCGCCACCTCCGTCGCCGACACCACCGCCCCCGGGCTAGCCTCTTTTCCCAAGCAGTCCCGCAAGAAGAAACAGACATCCCGCCTGAAGCTGAAACCTGGCTTCTGCGCCCCTACCCCTACCCGCCACGCATCCTGGGCTCCTTCCCAGACATCGGTGCCTTCACACGCACTTGCCCAGTGCCCGAACTCCTGCGCATCCACACCACTGCCCCGGGAGAGCGAGCTAGCCCGCAGCATCTGCACGCCCCAGCAGGTGCAGCCCCGCACCACTAGCGCCCCCCTGGCCCCAAAGTTGGAGGATGCCAGCAAAATGGAAAGGGGTGGTTGAAGGGGAGGTAGCGATGGGTTTTCAAGTGGAATAAGAAAACTCTAAATGCCACCAACCTGGACTGAACTGACCCGCGTCCAGCTGCGGCGAGTAGCTAGTGTTTATTTATTCTTTGGGGGTGACCCGCCCCCTCTTTCCTTTTCCGGGCTCACTTTCTCGCTCTAGAGGGAAAAAAGATGCCATAATCTGCCACAGCTTGGAGGACAGAGTTGGCCAGGACGATTTCCGAGCAGACCCCCCTCCCCCCGCGCCCTGCCCAGGCTCAGTGCCCGTTAGGGATGTCAGCGGTTATTGGAAGCGGTGGGAGGGTAGCGTGCCCAGATTGGTTTTGGCCAAAGGACCCTCAGCCTGCTTCTGCTCCGGTCGCCCGGCAGCGCAGAGCCAGCTCCTCCATGAAGCGCAGCTCCGCTGTCCGCCACAGTAGACTTACAGGCTGACTGGCGGTGGGACCCAAAGCCAACAGGCACGCAGGCGTAGGACCCGCCGCCGCCGCCGCCGCCGCCGAGACTGCACACCCCCCACCTTTCAGTGCACAAGGACTCTTTCTTTAGTGCAAAACAGCAATCCATCCAGACCCTTTAGAACACAAAGTTGCTTTTTTTTTTCTCCACGTCATTGGCGGTTGTGACTCAAGACTTGGCACATTACAGACTCACTCAGACCCAAGCCCCGAGCAGCGATCTTGGGATGCGCCCACCCATAGATCCATGCCTGTGTGAGCCTACACACCTCTCTTCCAGCTCGGACAGCGAGACAAAGCAAAGCCCCCAGCCCCACTGCACTGAAGTCTGGTCAGACCCAGCTTTAGACAATTTATAAGGTGACCTCCATCTTGACTGTTCCAAGAGTAAATTAAAAAAAAAATGTATAAGCAGAACACATACATAGCCCCCAACCCCAACTTCAAGAGTCGCCCCAGCGATGCTGCTGAAGTGACATCCGCTGTCCCTTAGGGTTCCAGAGATCTGTCTAGAGTACAGTCCGCAGTGGTGGGTAACCAGCTCGCTGATCGGGACTTGTATTGGAGATCTTTTCTGTGTCCAAGTTCATCTCTCAGGAAAATCGACTTTGAATCAAATCTATGAGCCCAGCTGTCAAATCTGCAAACCCATCACCACAGACAATGGGCCGCCAAGAAGGACAGAAAAGAAACGCTCTTTTTGATCCAGGGGGTTAATTGAAAAGGGCACGGGCTTTAGTTTAAGTTTGAGGCCGGGTTGTAAGGGCAGGGAAAAGAGGAGGAGGGATGGGTCGCTCTCCATTCAAGAACACACCAGCCAGGCGTGCCCTTCAGCTGTGGTGGCTGCGAGTGTGGCGCTGTGCATTGTTTGGAGTCCTCAAAGGGTGTCTGCGCTGTCGTGAGCTACCGAAACCCAGGGGACATCCCGCTGGTCCTAGCTCCTCCTTTGCTTTGCGCCATGTTCCTCTGGGGCAGGTATGAAGTGGCTGGTGCCTTCACCAGGAATTCCTCCTCCAGAATCACAGTCAGTCACACCAGACACAGATTTCCAGTTCAATGTATCAGTTTACACTTGGTAGTTGAATAAACAAAGAAAGCATATGTCACATTTTCGCGACAGATGGTTCAATCCAAGGGCTACTTAAGTTTTTTCTCTATCGATAGCCAGAAGTTTGCTGTGCAGAGTACCGTGGGGAGATGTAATTGAGTCTTCCAATCAGTGTCTCTGCTTACAGAAGCTTATTTCCATATTTTCCCACCAAGGCAAATATGCCAGGGAGGTGGATTTTTAATGGGAAGACGTATCTGAAGACTCCCATGGACACTCAAAACATAAAGTCCTTTTCCCTTGTCCTACTTCATAAGTGAAAGGGAATGTCTCTGTCTACTCAGTGCTTGTCTTTGGGGACCACTTGGGGGTGGTTGAAGAACATTTAAGTTTCATTTAAGACATCAACCATGTCTTTCCAAACAAAGAATATTTTGGAAAGCACTTGGTTATTCTACTTATTCTAGAGAAGTTTTAAAATTCTACTTTTAACAGAAAGGAAGAAGGCTAGTCTAAAAGGTCTCCGAAAGTAGGATGTAGGACCCCTTCGAAAGCAGTTACAGCTTCAAGAATATTTCAGGCCTCTTCCTCACCCTAGCCTTTGATAAATTATAAATATTGACATGATAAAATTGATCTTTTGGGGTTTGGTTTGGTTTTGAGAGGATTATTAATTTTTATTGTGTGTGTTCCCACCCATAAAGGCCAGAAGAGGGCATCAGATCCCTCTGAGCTGGAAAGTTACAGGTTGTTGTAAGCCTCAGCATGGATGCTGGGAATCAGTCTTAGGTTTTCTGCAAGTACTCCTCCAGCTCTTTCTGTAAAACAATTAATAACAACAATAAATACCACCAGTTACTACAACTATGCTGACCAGCTCTAACACTACCAGTCTCAGTATTAGTGCCATGGATCTAACTAAGATGAAACATAAGATACATGTGGTTATGTCAGGCGGTGGTGGCCCACGCCTTTAATCCCAGCAGCGCTCGGGGGGAAGAGCCAGGTGGGTCTCTGTGAGTTCGAGGCCAGCCTGGGCTACAGAGTGAGTTCCAGGAAAGGTGCAAAGCAACACAGAGAAACCCTATCTCGAAATAATAATAATAATAATAATAATAATAATAATAATAAAGATACGTGTGGTTAGTTCTTAGCAGAACTAATCAATGGCCATATGTGGCAGTGGTTACTGTATCTGATAACACAAAATACTTCCATAATCACAGAAGGATCTGGCGGGCAGCATATCCTGTTAGTGCTGCCATCAAATTAGTAGATGTGGGTTCTGTATGGAACGACAGATCGGCATAGGCATCCACTGAGTGCTTTGTAAGTGGTGGCACAGTGAGAGTTGGCTGGGGGGGGGGGGACTCTCCAAAGACACAGCCAGTTTCTGGTATGTTCTCAACGCAGGATGAGGGCAGAGGTAACGAAGCAAAGAAGAGGAATGGCCATGTCAAATTTCATTCTACAAGAACTGTAGATAAAAAGATGTCATTCATATTCTAGCTTAAGACTTCCCACAGTAGGACCCAATGGGGAAAACCACTGCCTTACTCCATACTAACATTAAAGGTGAGAGAAATGCATGGCCAGAAAGCCTTTAGAATACGGAAATAGAAAGCGTTGTGACATATTCTATTAACACTGTTTCCTTGGAGCTTATCTGTTCCCATGTGCACGGGACATCTCAGGATGAAAGGTGACATTGAAATATCAAATATTAATCATTATAAAGGTTCATGCAATCCTCTGTGACATGTTTTCTCAGTGGAAAATTGGTTTTAATGCTACAAAATTAGGTTCAATCCACCCATGAATATGTGAAGCGAGCAATCTTCTTGTGTTTCTTGATGTAAGTGTATTTTCATAAGTTAACAGATGAGTCACGATCCAGATGACAGTTCTGTCTCGTGGCATTTTGCCTCTTAACTCTCATTGCTTTTGTCCTATAGAATATAATGTAAAATATATCCATTCCCTAAAATTATACTGCTCAAAAGTCATCTAAGTGTTTTCCTTCATTCAGAGTACTTCATCATCTGACATTAGACAGCTGGACAGGCTTACCTGTGCAACCACACAAAACACTCACCCAATGGACTGTGCTTTTATTTATCTGTTCCTTTCATGTGTACTGTGATTTTTCTGGCTTGTTCTCTTCCATTTGCCCCTGAAATCGCACATATCATGTTTTGAGGTTCAGCTTAGCTGGGCAGGCCAGACTCCTTGTTTGAACTAATCGTTAGTTCCATGCCATGCCATCCACAGCCCTCCTGGGATCTCTCTTATGTCTGTGGTGACAATTGTTTCATAGTTAGGTGCTCTGTTCCCTTGACTGGACTGTGAGCTCATTGAAGGCAAGGGAATATTCTAGACCTCATGCCTGCACCCCCAGGATTTAGACTCATGACTGACACACACTCCTTCCCAATGAATGTGCATTGATTGCATGAATAATGTGTGGTGGTGCTCCTCATTTTCCTCTGACACTGTAATTCTACAGAAAGATTTACATGAAAATCCCTTTACTGTACGAACAATACTAAATGTAAGTACCTCATACGATTACTGGTATTACAGTTCCAATAATAGTATCAGATATGTATTATTCCTTTGGGGATTTGACATTTAAATTTTTTTAAACAAAAACCATTATTACAATAGAGTGCTCTTTTTTCCCCCTGCTTCACTTTAATAGTAAAATATGACATATTTCATTTCTGGGAAATGATAGCTTGCCTTAGGTCATATTTTAAGGCACAAAGCCAGAGTAACATTCCCACCTGAAGTTCTCTCATCATCTAGAAATGCACCTCTCTCTGGGAGAAGGGCCAGAGTACAACCACCCTGGAGCCTTCCTCTTCAAAGGCAGATTTTTAAAAGCCAAATTGGCTCAGAATTATTTTTAAAGAAACAACTCTATGAACACAATTGCAAGCCCTCTTGTAATCATTTTGGGAAAATGCTGATCATCCAAGGCAGGCAGCTGGCTGAGGACCTCCACGTGAGTGAGACCCTCACCTTCCAAGCCTCACTTTGACCCTCGCCCTTGGGTGGAACAGGAAGAGGCAGTTTCTCTCAAATCTCAGAGACCTTTCCAGGAGGACTAGATGAGGATGTGTCTTTGGAACATTATTTGCAAATGGAAGTTTCTTATAGGCTGTCAGGGTGCCTGACCCCTAGGAACCTATGTTAGGACATCTTCCTTCCTCTTCAGTGTTCAGGTAATTTTCATTTCTTAGTACTAATAAGTCAGTGGCCAGGGTTTTAATGCATTTATGGAAGAATATTCCTGAGAGTTGAAGTCATCTGTGCTTTGGCCTTCTGCCACAAAATGCATAAGGTGCGCAGCCCTGATGAAATAAAGTGCCTGTCATGTCTTATTGCTTCAATCTATGGCAAGATATACCCCATTTTCAGAGGACTTGCAAGGTTTTTTCTCATGATTGCCAAAGGTGTTGGTTTAAAAGCCCTGTGAATTTCAGCCCCCTTAATCAAGCCAGGGTGGGATGCATGTGGGCAAGAGACACCGCTTCTCAATGATGCTTTCCCCTGCACCCCAAATCCTGTTCCAATGGGAGTATTGCTTCAGAAGGGCAAGGGGAAGCTTCATCCCCGGCTTTGTCCAGTAATTAGCCTGTCTCTGTCTCTGGAGGCTGCAAACACAGATGCCGATCCGGATGAGTGCTAGGACATGGAATGAAAACAAGACTGAAAACATTGACTTGTTTCTTCAGGAGCCTTTTAGCAGCCTTGAAAGCCGTGCGAAGTTCTTGTTTCTATCGATGTCATTAGGTCTGAAGTGGTCAGATGAGGCCCTTCCCATCCATGATGCATCAGGACAAACAGCAACTCAACCAGAGACTTGGAGCTGAGCAGTTTGCAGGCCTCGGGCAACAATGAAAGCTCTGTACCGCG